TATGAAGCATCAGACTGATAAGCTCATCTCTCAATCACTCTGCTCTCTCCTGCTATCAGCATGCTGCTTTACAGCACATGAACCCTGTAGTCCCTGCAGTCCCTGTAAAGCTTCTCCCTTTTTCAATCTGAGCTCTGCTGTACAGGGACTGCAAGAGGCTGATAGCAGGTGATATTCAGGGGCTTACACTGCTTGCTGACATTTCTATGACACTCATTTACAGGATGTATGTTTTGGGGTCTGTGACTTAAAAGTACTTAAGCGGCCATCTTTAATCCTGGCATAAACATATTGTATGGAATTGGAAGTGCTTTTTTTTTTCATCTGCTCATTGTATGTATATATACCATATTAAATCCTCAATGTTTTGCTGATCTTCACTATGGATAGTGTTAATTTTCTCCGAATGATGTTGGTTCTGTTCGGTATGAACCTATTGAAAGGCTGAGCCTTGAACCACAGTGTATGTATATGGATATGTCATGCTGCTGGAGCAAAGCGGATTGCCTTGGAGTCTATACAAAGTGCTATTTGGCCACTCTTGATTTGGGGGTCATAACATTCTGGTAAGCCCCCCTCTTGTTGAGGTGGTGTGTGGTCTTGCTGTGTGGAGGCTTAGAGGTTTATTCAGACTTACATTTCTCCTTTTTGTTGCACCCTGGGAAGATCAATTTTTATTGGCTCTTCATTGGGACTTTTTTATTTTCATTTTCTTTTTTGTTATTTAATTATATTGATGTTTTTTCACATACCGTATTTTTTTCTCCATAAGACGCACTTTTTCCCCCCCAAAAAATGGGGGAAAATGTCTGTGCTTCTTATGGAGTGAATATTGTTCCTCGGTTCAGCAGCGTCCTCATCGTCTTCTCTTCCTGGCGCCGGCATCTTTAGTGTGGGCACCAGGCTGTGACAGCTTGCGGCTTCACAGTCGGGTGCCCACTGCACATGCGTGAGAAGCACTGCGCTTTGTGAATGGTCTGGCAGTCTTCTGGGACCTGTCACATGTCCCACACGATAGGGAGGGAGGACAACTCTGCGGAAGTGGGAGCGAGTACCTGTCAAATTCGGGTACCCACTCCCAAAGTTCTGCAGACATCTCCTGTACTGTGTCCGCAGTCTGGTCATCTCCTGTACTGTGTCCGCAGTCTCTGGTCGTCTCTCTATACTGTGTCCGCAGTCTCTGGTCATCTCCTGTACTATGTGTCCGCAGTCTCTGGTCATCTCCTGTACTATGTCCGCAGTCTCTGGTCATCTCCTGTACTGTCCGCAGTCTCTGGTCAGTCTCTGGTCATCTCCTGTACTGTGTCCGCAGTCTCTGGTCATCTCCCCCTGTACTGTGTCCGCAGTCTCTGGTCAATCTCCTGTACTGGGTCCGCAGTCTCTGGTCATCTCCTGTACTGTGTCCGCAGTCTCTGGTCAATCTCCTGTACTGTGTCCGCAGTCTCTGGTCATCTCCTGTACTGTGTCTGCAGTCTGTGGTCGTCCCCTGTACTATGTCTGCAGTCTCTGGTCATCTCCTGTACTATGTCTGCAGTCTCTGGTCATCCCCTGTACTGTGTCCGCAGTCTCTGGTAATCTCCTGTACTATGTCTGCAGTCTCTGGTCATCTCCTGTACTGTATGTCTGCAGTCTCTGGTCATCTCCTCTACTATGTCCGCAGTCTCTGGTCATCTCCTGTACTATGTCTGCAGTCTCTGGTCATCTCCTGTACTATGTCTGCAGTCTCTGGTCATCTCCTGTACTATGTCCCGCAGTCTCTGGTTATCTCCTGTAGTATGTCCTCAGTCTCTGGTCATCTCCTGTAGTATGTCCTCAGTCTCTGGTCATCTCCTCTAGTAGGTCCGCAGTCTCTGGTCATCTCCTGTAGTAGGTCCGCAGTCTCTGGTCATCCCTGTTCTGTGTCCGCAGTCTTTGGTCATCTCCTGTACTGTGTCCGCAGTCTCTGGTCATCTCCTGTACTATGTCTGCAGTCTCTGGTCATCTCCTGTACTATGTCTGCAGTCTCTGGTCATCTCCTGTACTGTGTCCGCAGTCTCTGGTCATCTCCTGTACTGTGTCCGCAGTCTCTGGTCATCTCCTGTACTGGGTTCGCAGTCTCTGGTCATCTCCTGTACTATGTCTGCAGTCTCTGGTCATCTCCTGTACTATGTCCGCAGTCTCTGGTCATCTCCTGTACTATGTCCGCAGTCTCTGGTCATCTCCTGTACTATGTCCGCAGTCTCTGGTCATCTCCTGTACTGTGTCTGCAGTCTCTGGTCATCTCCTGTACTATGTCTGCAGTCTCTGGTCATCTCCTGTACTATTGTCTAGTAGGTCCGCAGTCTCTGGTCATCTCCTGTACTATGTCCGCAGTCTCTGGTTATCTCCTGTAGTATGTCCACAGTCTGGTCATCTCCTGTACTATATCTGCAGTCTCTGGTCATCTCCTGTACTATGTCTGCAGTCCATTGTTCAGAATCCGCAGTTTTTCTTGTACTGTGTCTCGCAGTCTCTGGTCATGCTCTGTACTGGAGTGAAAAATACGGTAATTTGTACTATTGTCTGCAAGTAGTGGTCATCTCCTGCATACTATTCTGCAGTCTCTGGTCATTCCTGTACTATGTCCGCAGTCTTGGTCATCTCCTGTACTGTCTGCAGTCTCTGGTCATCTCCTGTACTATATTCCGCAGTCTCTGGTCATCTCCTGTATATGTATCAGTCTCTTTGTCATCTCCTGCTAGTTTGCAGTCTCTGGTCATCTCCTTACTAAATCGTCCGCAGTCTCTGGTCATCTCCTGTTAGTGTCCGCAAGTCTCTGGTCATCTCCTGTACCCGCAGTGAGAGACTCTGGTCACTCCCCCGGCGGACTCCCCAATATGGTGACAGAGTGCCGATCGCCCCCTGTAATATGTCTGTTATCTCTGGTCATCTCCTGTACTATAGATCCCTGTTCTGGTCCGCAACTCTGGTCATCTCCTGTACTATGTCCAGCAGTCTCTGGTCATCTCCTGTACTGGGTCTGCAGTCTTACATCATCTCCTGTACTATGTCCGCAGTCTCTGGTCATCTCCTGTACTATGTCTGCAGTCTCTGGTCATCATCTCCTGTACTGTGTCTGCAGTCTCTGGTCATCTCTGTACTATGTCCGCAGTTTTTGGTTTCTCCTGTAGTATGTCCAAAGTCTCTGGTCATCTCCTGAAAATATCTGAGAGTCTAGCCGGTCATGAGTCTCACGACAACTGTTCTCTGCAGTCTGAGGTCAGTCCTGTCACTGTGGCTCCGCCACTGGTCACTCCTGTCTGGGTTCGCAGTCTCATGGTCATCTCCTGTACTATGTCTGGTCATCACAATCTGAGTCAATCATCTCCTGTACTATGTCCGCAGTCTCTGGTCATCTCCTGTACTATGTCTATATTATGTCCAGCAGTCTCTGGTCATCTCCTGTACTGTGTCTGCAACTTTAATGGTCATCCCTGTACTGTGTCCGCAGGTCTCAATCTTGAGTTGGCCCGCCATCTCAGCTGTATAACAGTCTGTGTCATCGCACTCTCTGAAGTCTCTGTCATCTCCTGTACTGTGTCTGCAGTCTGTGGTCGTCCCTGTACTATGTCCGCAGTCTCTGGTCATCTCCTGTACTATGTCTGCACATTCCTGTGGTCAGGCACTGTTCTGGTCCGCAGTCTCTGGTCATCTCCTGTACTATGTCTGCAGTCTCTGCATCTCCTGTACTGTTCATCTCCATGTTCTCTGTACTGTGTTGAAGTCTCTGGTCATCTCCTGTGTGTCAGGCAGTCTGTGGTCGTCCACCCCAGTCTCTGGTCATTCCTGTACTATGTCCGCAGTCTCTGGTCATCTCCTGTACTATGTCTGCAGTCTCTGGTCATCTCCTGTACTATGTCCGCAGTCTCTCTTATCCCTGTAGCTCTGGTCATAAATTGTCCAAAAGTCTTGGTATGCTGACGCCTGTAATATGTCCTCAGTTCCCTTCACTGTACTAGTCTGGCAGTCTTGGTCATCCCTGAAAAACAAACCCCATCACTTAGTATGTCCGCAGTCTCTGGTATTTACTCCTGGCACAATAGTAGGTCCGCTAGTTATCTCCTGGTAATGTCCCCTGTTCTCCTGTATAGGTCCGCAGTCTTTGGTCATCTCCTCTAGTAGACTGTGTCTCGCAGTCTCCAGTGGTCATCCCCTGTTCTCCTGTATCTGTACTGTTCGCATCTCTGGTCATCTCCTGTACTGTGGTGTCTGCAGTCTTGGTCATCTCCTGTACTATGTCTGCAGTCTCTGGTAATCTATTGTACTGATGTCTGCAGTCTGGTTCAATCTCCTGTACTGTGTCTGCAGTCTCTGGTCATCCCCTGTACTGTGTCCGCAGTCTCCTGGTCATCTCCTGTACTATGTCCGCAGTCTCTGGTCATCTCCTGTACTATGTCCGCAGTCTCTGGTCATCTCCTGTACTATGTCTGCAGTCTCTGGTCATCTCCTGTACTATATGTCTGCAGTCTCTGGTCATCTCTCTAGTAGGTCCGCAGTCTCTGGTCATCTCCTGTACTATGTCTGTAGTCTCTGGTCATCTCCTCTAGTAGGTCCGCAGTCTCTGGTCATCTCCTGTACTATGTCTGCAGTCTCTGACCATCTCCTGTAGTATGTCCACAGTCTGGTCATCTCCTGTACTATATCTGAAGTCTCTGGTCATCTCCTGTACTATGTCTGCAGTCCATTGTTTCAGAATATTTTTTTTCTTGTTTTCCTCCTCTAAAACCTAGATGCGTCTTATGGAGTGAAAAATACGGTAATTTGAATATTGTCACACAAGTAGTGTGTTTACTTCTGCACTATATTTATATTTACTCATGCACTATTAATATTTGTTTATTTGTATTTTCAGAGCGCTGCACCTTTCTAGAATATATTTGAGTACTGTCTATCAGCTGCTGTATATTACTCATACTTTTGGGATCCTAGTGCAGTTTTTCTATTTCTTTACTAAATCGCTTGGCTTCGCTGACAATCCTTGGTTAGTTGGCAAGTGGAAATCTTACCAAAGCTGAGACACTGACTCCCCCGGCGGACTCCCCAAATATGGTGACAGAGTGCCGATCGCCCCCGAAATCAGCGATGTTATCCTGCACCCAATAGAGGGCCGCAAACTGGTCCAGGAAGCCCAGATTACCAGGTAGCTCATCATCTCCGGTACTGGGGGGGGGAGAAGGAAATACATAAAAATTCGTAAAAATGTGCATGCAGGATTTTCAGCAATGCAGAGCAGGGTCATGCCCAACCATTGAGGAGGTGTATTGGGGCGCCTTTACAGCAGTGTGGCCTTAATGGGAGTTTTGTGCTTTAAATAAAGGGGAAAAAAAAATGGAGAGATTTACCTGAAAAATCCCAGAATTCCTAGCCGGTACTGAATGGACACGACAACCACATTCTCGTAGACACTGAGCGCAGAAACAGTCAAAAAGACTGGCTCCAGCCACCAACAGCCCGCCACCATGTATGAAGAACATGACCTATAAACACAAGAATGTGGAGTGACATCACAATCTGAGACAATGTAGAAATCACTCTTCATACACTATATTGCCAGAAGTATTGGTCGGCCGGCCTTTACACGCAAATGAACTTTAATGACATCCCAGTCTTAGTCCAGAGGGTTCAATATTGAGTTGGCCCCGCCCTTTGCAGCTATAACAGCTTCAACTCTTCTGGGAAGGCCGTCCACAAGGTTTAGGAGGGTGTCTATGGGAAGGTTGGACCATTCTTCCAGAAGCACATTTGTCAGGTCAGGCACTGATGTCGGGGGAGGAGGCCTGGCTCGCAGTCTCCGCTCTAATTCATCCCAAAGGTGTTCTATCGGGTTGAAGTCAGGACTCTGTGCAGGCCAGTCAAGTTCCTCCACCCCAAACTGGCTCCTCCATGTCTTTATGGACCTTGCTTTGAGCATTGCTACGCAGTCCGTTTGGAACAGGAACGGACCATCCCCAAACTCTTCCCACAAAGTAGGGAGCATGAAATTGTCCAAAATGTCTTGGTATGCTGACGCCTTAAGAGTTCCCTTCACTGGAACTAGGGGGCCAAGCCCAACCCCTGAAAAACAACCCCACACCATAATCCCTCTCCACCAAATTTTACACTTGGCACAATGCAGTCAGGTAAGTACTGTTCTCCTGGCAACTGCCAAACCCAGACACGTCCATTGGATTGCCAGACAGAGAAGCTTGATTGGTCACTCCAGAGAATACGTCTCCACTGCTCTAGAGTCCAGTGGTGGCGTGCTTTACACCACTGCATCTGACGCTTTGCATTGCACTTGGTGAGTAAGCCTTGGATGCAGCTGCTCAGCCATGGAAACCCATTGCATGAAGCTCTCTATGCACTGTTGTTGTGCTAATCTGAAGGCCACACCAAGTTTGAAGGTCTTTAGCTATTGACTCTGTAGACAGTTGGTGACTTCTGCGCACTGTGCACTTCAGCATGCACTGACCCCGCCCTGTCATGTGACGTGGCCTGCCACTTGGTGGCTGAGTTGCTGTTGTTCTCAGTTGCTTCCACTTTGTTATAATCCCACTAACAGTTGAGCGTGGAATATTTAGTAGCAGGAAATGTCACGGATGGACTTAGTCCACAGGTGGCCACCTATCACGGGACCACGCTTGGAGTCACTGAGCTCCTGAGAGCGACCCATTCTTTCACAAATGTTTGCAGAAGCAGTCTGTATGTCTAGGGGCTTGATTTTATACACCTGTGGCCATGGAGGGGATTGGAACACCTGAATCCAATGATTTGGAGGGGGGTCCTAATACTTTTGGCAATATAGTGTATTTATACAGCAATTGCTGAGTAACGATTGCTCATCTTCGCTTACTTCCAGTCAGGGGCGGACTGACAACTCATGGGGCCCCCGGTCAATAGGGGATCATGGGGCCCCTGTGTCCTTGCCCAAACTCAAAAAAGCCTATGAAAAAGGTACCAGGGACATCTCATGGGGCTCCCTACTGACCCGGGCCCTCGGGCAGTGCCCGAGTTTCCAAATGGTCAGTCCGCCCCTGCTTCCAGTGCAGAATTGGGGGGATATGGGAGATTGTAGAGAAGTTGTAGACACCGGAAAGGAAATCCAAACAGATGAGGATCTTTGGACTGATTTATGAGGACCAAATGTACACAGAGTTTTAAAGAAAAAAAAGGAACCAACTGAGAATTGAAACTTAAAGTATATATGTATTTTTTTTCTTTTTGAACATATTTACACTTTAACTTTGCATTACCAGTGGCCTCCTCTTTTGTTGCGATACTCACAGGTAACTTTGATTCCTTTTCTCTGATACTTGGAGTGAAGATATTCAGATACAGGCAATCCTCTGACAGTGGTGGCATCTTAAATGGAGATTTGTAGTAGGCGGCAATTTCCTCAATAATCGCTACATCTTGCAAACACCTGAAAGACCGAAATACAAGACGCTGACATAGACGCGATGATGACCCTGACGCAGCTCCGCGAAATTATACTAGGATTGTGTCTGCTGGTATAATGTGCAGGACTGTGCGCTTGACAAAGGAGGTGGGGACTGCGCAATCCACAAAATGTCTAGGAACACTGTTGCTGAAAGGTTTCAATGCCTATGCCAAAGAGAGATATATTGGATTTACACATCGGATGTACTATCTTCAGGGGGCTTGAAGGAGGAGCATGAGATTAGCACCATAATATATCCCCAGTAAAGTGTACATAGCCCACCTTAGTACATCATCTCCTCCCTTATCAAGCGATAGTTTTCTCACACTATTTGTTATACCTTTGGGTTAATGGGATGTATTCCTATTCATAATTATCATTATTAGTTGTTCTTCCATTGCTTTACCATGTATGCGATCTCATATGCACAACCCCTGTATAATTGTGATCTGATATAATTTATTTATTTTACATAGTTCATGTATTCCCTTAATTTATCCATCTTTTCGTTATGCGTTTATTATATATTGGTGCGTTTTCTTTACCCTCTTGATTTTGTAGGATTTATTCTTTGCATTATTGTTCCATTCCATTTTTTTATACATATAAATTTTTTTATATACACATTAATTTTTATATATTCTTCTTCTTTACTTTTGTTTGTTTAATTTTAATAGTTCATTATATCATTGATCAGTAATGGTGCAGCGCTAAATAATAAATAAATAAAAATATTCTCATAAAAAAACCAACTCATCAGAAGGCACTAAATAAAGTCTCTCACGGCTTCAACTACCACCTACAGTATATGCCGACGACACACAAATCTGTCTCTCAACCCCCCACCTCACCCCCTCAGTCTCCGCCTGAATCACACACCTACTGAGCGACATATCAGACTGGATGTTGCTCCACTTCCTTAAACTGAACCTCTCCAAAACAGAGTTTCTTGTCTTCCCCCCAGCCCGGACCCCACCCCCCCATTGACTTCTCCATCACGTCCAACAACACCACCATCAAACCCGCCCCGCAGGCCAGAGTACATGGTGTCATTCTGGACTCCAACCTATCCTTCCAGCCCCAAGTCCAATCTTTAACAAACTCGTGCAGACTCCACCTCCGCAACATCGCCAAAATCCGCACGTTCCTAACTCCAGAAACCACTAAACAGCTCATCCACTCCTCATCATATCACGACTCGACTACTGCAACTCCCTCCTCACTGGCCTGCCAGTGCTGGCTATCCCCGCTTCAGTCCATCCTGAATACGGCTGCCAGACTCATTCACCTTTCCAACCGCTCCGTTTCCGCCACCCCCCTCTGCCAATCCCTCCACTGGCTTCCGATTGCGCAACGGATCAAATTCAAAAATCCTAACACTGACCTACAAAGCCGTCCACCACACTGCCCCGAACTACATCACCGACCTAATATCCAAGTACCGCCCAACACACACACTCCGCTCCTCACAAGACCTCCTTCTCTCTAGTTCCCTGGTCTCCTCCTCCCATGCCCACCTCTAGGACTTCTCCAGGGTGTCACCCATCCTCTGGAACTCCCTGCCCCAACCCATCAGATTATCACCTACTCTCCTCTCCTTTAGACGCACCCCGAAAATCCACCTCTTCAGGGAAGCCTACCCCACCCCCTGCTAACTTGCTGACCTCCTCCACTCTTCCTACCACTCCATCCCCCACAGCTTTCTCCTCCTGTGCCACCATCCCCTCCCTCCTAGATTGTAAGCTCGAAAGAGCAGGGCCCTCAATCCCCTCATGTTTTGCATTGTATTGTTATTGTTCTGTCACATGTTCTGTCCCCCTTTGTAATGTACAGCGCTGAGCGAACTATTGGCACTTTATAAATACTGTATAATAATAATAATAATGAGTGGACCATAAATAAATGATATAAAGTTCAAAGGTGACTATAGTGCTCTGAAGGTGCCTGCTTCACTGGTAATCCGGTGCTTGTGCAAATAGTTTGTGGGAAAATTGCGCACTCACCAGACGCGCAATTTAAATGCGCATGTAAATATATATCCAGATGTCCTCGGGATGGGCCAGGTGATGGGGTAACTTCCCTCTGAAGGGTAGGTAGTACGTCAAAAGATTCCAGGGCTTTAGTGATGATCCAAGACAGCCAGAGATCCCCTTAAGGGTTGAGTGGGTGCTTCTTCCTGGATATGCAGGAGATTCCCTCTCTGGGTACTGGGATGGATCTGTGTCTTTAAATGGGCGTCACTTCAGCTTCACTAAATACCAGCCGTCAGCCTGAAACTAACCCAACCGTTATATCATTGCCCGGGTTCATACAGTATGTTATCATTATTCCTATTTTTAAAGTTTGCGACATTATTGTATATTGCACTGGGATCCTGTCACCATTTGCCTGGGTCTATTACATTTATAGGTATGTCCCTTTCCTGATTGTTCCACCCTGTCCCTGCCTTCCGCCCTTCCCTATTTATTTGGCTCTGTCCAGGGGCGGACTGACTATTTGGAAACTCGGCCACTATCCGAGGGCCCGGGGTCAGTAGGGGGCCCCATGAGATGCCCCTGATACCTTTTTCATAGTCTTTTTTGAGTTTGGGCAAGGACACAGGGCCCCCATGATCCCCTATTGCCCGGGGGCCCCATGAGTTGTCAGTCCGCCCGTGGCTCAGTCCTCAGTGGGTCACGGTCTTGATGAAGGAGCTATTGTGCATGCTCTGAAACGCATCACTGCCCACCATTGACGTCACTTGCTGGACGTGCATTCCACGCAGACGCCGTGTGTTCCACAGCGGCCCAGAAAGAGCGGTGGCCATCTTGGAGTTGCACCTGAGCTCCCCCTGCTGCTACTAGATGGCACAGTGAGCTCCAGGAAACAGTTACAGGAGCCCTGCATTGACGTTCTATATGCCTAAGCCTTATCATCCTTTGTAAGTGGTATTAAACATTTTTACCAATCAAGATGTGGATGTACTGCACTTAGAAGCGCCTTCTTTCTCTTCTGTTCTGCCCAGAGTCTGCTTCTACTCCTGGAAGCGTGCTCTACTGCGT